TTATATATATATATATATATATATATATAAGGAAGGTTTTAATTCAATGCAGTATCTTTGTTTTTAGAGAGTTACAGATGTGGTAAGAAAAGTATAAAAGCAAATACTATAGAAATGTAACTATTTGTTGTCTGCAAATGAACTGAAGCAGAGACAAATCACATATTGGTAGCTTACACCGTGATTGGTTGTCATCCAACTAGCAAGAAACTGCCACACTAGTATCGAGCCAATAAAAATCCGACAATCATACTATGCCTAGTAGGAATAGTGTTGATCCAATCATTGCTCCTAGAACTGAAATATACCACATGAGAAGCAGTTTGGCCGGTCATGGACACTCCGTGCAAAACATTATAGTGAGAATGGATGCTTTAGCAGCGGCCATAAAAAGTACATGCAACTGGAATTGTTAATAATAGAAGTTTAAGAGGGAAAAACTTAAAATTATCCAAATGTGGTAAGTATATTAGGGTGTGTTCTTCATGAGATGGGCAACAGATATCAATGTTGCCTTGAGGACATTATGACAAACAATAGCCTCAAATAGTCTTAATGGACCTATAGCTGCTTAAAAATTTTCATTACTTCTGTATTGTGTCTCCCGTAATGTGAGTTTCTATATTTACTTCCACTCTTGTATGTGACTGTATGTCAAGGAAGTCTGAATGTCAGCTGCTATCATCAGTTCCTAGGTAGCTCTGTTACAAATATCCCACTGTAACAAGGTATCATCAGTTCCTAAGTAGACATGTTACAAATATCCCACTGTAACAAGGTATCATCAGTTCCTAAGTAGACATGTTACAAATATCCCACTGTAACAAGGTATCATCAGTTCCTAAGTAGACATGTTATGAATATCCCACTGTAACAAGGTATCATCAGTTCATAAGTCAACATGTTAAGAATATTCCGCTGTAACATGGTATCGGCAGTTCCTAAGTCAACATGTTTTGAATATCCCAATGTATCCGCCTAGCCATGCCCCCTTATCAGTCCCAGGTAGATCTATATATCACAATACAACATCATATTGTCAGTTTCTAGATGTTAGTTGTGTCTCAATGTCATACTGAACCACCAGTTTCTAGATGTTAGTTGTGTCTCAATGTCGTACCGTACCACAAGTTTGTAGATGTTAGTTGTGTCTCAGTGTCATACTGAACCACCAGTTTCTAGATGTTAGTTGTGTCTCAATGTCGTACCGTACCACAAGTTTGTAGATGTTAGTTGTGTCTCAATGTCATACTGAACCACCAGTTTCTAGATGTTAGTTGTGTCTCAATGTCGTACCATACCACAAGTTTCTAGATGTTAGTTGTGTCTCAATGTCATACTGAACCACCAGTTTCTAGATGTTTGTCTTGTCTCAGTGTCATACTGAACCACCAGTTTCTAGATGTTTGTCTTGTCTCAGTGTCATTCTGAACCACCAGTTTCTAGGTGTTTGTCTTGTCTCAATGTCGTACTGAACCACCAGTTTCTAGATGTTTGTCTTGTCTCAGTGTCATTCTGAACCACCAGTTTCTAGGTGTTTGTCTTGTCTCAGTGTCATTCTGAACCACCAGTTTCTAGGTGTTTGTCTTGTCTCAGTGTCATTCTGAACCACCAGTTTCTAGGTGTTT